TTTATTAAATAGATAGCTAATAAATAGATACGTGTGACATTTACATATGATTTTCTTGCAATTGAGTAAGAAATCAAGAAAGACATCGGAGCCTTTTTCATAGCATTTTCAGAGATAAATTGGTGGGTCTTTCCGGGAACACTTAGTTCCACCAACAGTTTATAAATCTTCAGAGCACCTGTCAGCGGTAATTACCTTTTTGCAGGTCTAAAATGAACGGGGGTGGTAATGGATGGCAGATTATAACAAACTAAAAAGAACAAGGAGCAACTTTTTAAAAAGGTGAATTCTGGGTGTTTCTGCTTAAGTGGATGATGGGGGACAGGAACATTGGAAGTGAGGATGATGACACGCAGTAATGCTCTGAGGAGAACCTGGGATGTCGTGCTATGCCACTTTAATTAGATTAAAAATCAGTAAACTGCAGACTTTCTAAACCAGACAGGAGGTTTTTCGGTTGGACTGAAATCCCAGTAGCACACGACTAAGAACTTCTGTAGCAGAAAAACACCAATTAATCCGCTTCCTCTTCCAGTCTCTGTGTCTAAATCTGTTTATCTCATATATCTAGATAAGTATTTTTGAAATACTTGGCAGGTGATTGGATCACCTGCGTTTTTATTCCAGTTTATCAAAGTGTGATTATTATTCATTCCTTAATACCAATAGTCGTGGTTCCCCATCATAAACCTGACAACATTTTCAAAGAGATAAGGGTTGGTGTTAAGGAGGACATTATGTGGGGAAAGAAACTTAGGTTAGGTAAATATCTATCAAGAACATTTGGTATACATTAAAGTATATTGTAAATTGTTAAATGTTTAAAAACATACACAAAACATCCTCGTACTGCTCCGGAACAATCATGGAGGACGGCCCACTTCTCAAGAGCCTCGACCTGTGGGAAAATAGTGGGAAATATAAACGTGTATCGACAGTAAGAGGGAGATATTAAGAGAGACTCAGACTCGTCCTCACCGATCCACTGAATGACGCTGTGGCCCCTCATCCTGGGGGCTGCTGTGGTGTATGAGGTCGTTAGGAGTACTGTGTACAGATAGAGAGAGATATAAAGATGGGTTATATATCACAAGTGTTGTGATAGAATTCAAATCAAGACGAAAAAATGTATTAGCAGAATACCCTAACTAACCAAAACATGGGAATACCTAGCTGCGGTTTCTTTGTCTTCTAATATTTATTTATTTTTGTATCTTTATCCGGTCATTGTGTCTTTGGATTAACTTAAAAACAGATTAAACAAGATATATCATTATATGATAATGATAATAATAATATTTATAACTACTATAACAATTATAATGACTATTATCATAATTATCAGTTTACATAAAAATAGGATGAGTAATGAAACCGTCTTGTTATCTGAACATGGACTTGTAGGAATGTATTTGTTTATTTTATTTGCAACACAGTCTCACGGCATTTCGTGTTATAGTCACGAAATTAATCTATTGATTCGTGTTCACCAAAACGATTTCCCAATTTTTTTTGTGTCACACAGAACGATTTTAGAAGCAATGTATTTCTATTGGTAGTATGTTTCGTGCCTGCACCAAATAATAACAAATTAGAAGGAAAAAAAGATGACATAAAATACAGATGTCAGTATTCTGAGGCTCTGAGCCATTTCTTTTCCTCGCGGACGGCAAAAAAAACTCCGACATTATACAATTTAGAATAAAAGGGATAGGGTTAGGCTTAGGGTAAGATATTGAGTAAGAAAATGTTTTTATGAACCACACAGCTTCTGGTATTCTAATGGCGCGTTTCCACTACACGGCCTCGCTCGGCCCCGCTCGGTATGGCTGGGCCTTGTTAGGACTGGCTCACTTTATGGCGCATTTCCATTACAGTTTAGGAACTGGGGCAGTATCTATAGTAACGCAGTGTAGGCGGAGCCGTGACGTGATCTTCAGAGGACCCCAGAAAAACAACACAGCCGTTAGCTGTTAGCACTCAGAGCTCACAGCTCCTTATATCTGTTCAGAAACTAGACAAAAGTTAAACAAGTACAAACCACAGACTGCCTGTGTCATGGTGAATACAGTCGCTGCTTTATTTATGTCTGTATAGGCCGTTGTTGTGAGTGTGGACGGTCGGAGCATATACTGCGTTAGCTTAGCCAATCTCCATTTAGAAAACAAGCATTTTAAAAGGTTTTTCGCCTGCCGTCTGTCTGCAGACTTGACAAAGCATTAATTCATGGTTTTTACTAACCGGTATCAGTATGTTGTTACTTCGGCATCATTTTGAAACGTGTATTACAATTAAATCACGGTCAAATATGTCCATCTTGTTGTAGTTGTAGCCCCCTTGCCAGCGACGCTCTCTCTAGTTTAGCATACTCAGCCCGACTCAGCCTCGTTGTCTCTGGCCCTGGACCCACGATTTTATGAGGCCAGAAAAACTGTGAATTAGGACCCGCCGGCCGGTACTAGGCCAAGTGGAAACGCAACCAAAGACGGGCCGCTGACGTCACAGCCCTCTTAAACCGGGCTGCGGGCTGTAGTGGAAACGCGCCATAAGACCCGACCGGACAAAACGACGTGGTGCAGGCACGAAACATACTACCATGCTTTTAAAATCGTTCTGTGTGACACGAAAAAAATGTGAAAATCGTGTTATTGAACACGAATCAATAGATTAATTTCGTGACTATAACACGAAATGCCGTGAGACTGGGTTGGTATACGTGTACATATATATAGAATTTAGTTTATCTGTGTGAGTATTTCATTACGGAATTATCTTTTATTTACTTAACCTTAACGGGAGGGCTACCTCTGTGTAAACTCTGCTTTCTGCCCTCCGCTTCTACTCATTGTTTGTTTTTCTAGATGTATAAACTGTTGTTGAAATAGTAGAATAAATAATAAAAAATACATATATTTTGTGTGTTCTGACAAATATATCCTGCTATATACCTGATCACGGGACAGTCAGCGGGAGGGATTTCCTCCACAGGACGCTCCGGCACTTTCTGTCTCTTCCTCCGACCTCTGCCCACACTCGGGGGCTTGTTTGAAGCGGCCCGAGATCTCTTCAGCGGAGACTGTGGGTTTAGGAGCGGCACGGAGGAACTCTCTTTGGGAGGTGGAGGAGATCTGATGCGTTTCTTCCTTCCTTTCCGAGGTTTGGGCTTCTGCTGCTGAGGGGAGAGGCTCTCCACGTCCTGCACCGCCCACCAGCTCCCGGGGGCTCTCCTGCCCCGCCTCACTGCGCTGAGAGGCTCCTTCCTTTGAGGCGCTTCCTTCTTACTGGAGACGGGATGGCATACTTTTTGAAACGGCTTCTCCCCTGTTGGAGGCAAGGCAAGTTTATTTATATAGCACCTTTCAACACAAGGCAATTCAAAGTGCTTTACAAAAATGAAAAATATTAAGAAACATATTATAAAATGGCATTTAAAAGCGTGAATAACAAAGGAACATTCATAAAAGTCACAGCAGTGTGAGATACACACATCTGAAATGTTTAGCTCTGACTCTCAATCATTGCTCACTTTTTAGCAGACATAGTTTTCTACGACTTCACTTTCTTGTTTAACTTATCCTTTAGTTGTTTCAAGTGTTTCTTGCTAAACGAACGCCCCTTTGGAACATTATAATCTGACCCCATGGTACCTTTTAGTTTTCGCCTAAACTATTCCTCTTTAACAGAAAGGAACACAATCCCTCTAAGGAACAGAGATCATTGGTTGGTCTGTTTGTAGGGCTGAATATGTAAATGAAGTATTGTGAAGCTGCAGAGACGTCCCTGCATACATATGTTATTTTATAGACTTGTTTAAAAGATCTTAGTTAGGTAGGTAAAGATCCTCCTAAAACAATTACACCATGATCATTTTAATAACTTTCTGTTTGTTTACAAAACTCAAATACAGGTACTATTAAAGAGTACAGATACATGTTGCTAAGCACGTCGTTAAATGCAGCACTTTAACTGGTAACACATATTACCACACAGATTGGTGCTTCTGTCAAAGACCTTCATTTCTAGTACTTTGTTAGTCTTTTACTGGCTGTGTTTGGTTTTCTTTACACTTTCTCGGTATACTGTTTTCCCTCCCTCAAGTGATCTGCTGTCTCTGTGCAACAGTTTAATAAAAAGGGACTTTGAGAATCACATTTTAATAAGAAACAGAGATTATTGGTTGGTCTGTTTGTAGGGCTGCAAAATATATTTATATTATTCAAATCGCAATATGGAGCATCTTGCAGTTATATTCAAGATATGTGAATTGATTTTTTCCTAAATCTGCAGCCCTATTTAACTCAAATACAGGTATTTTTTCTATTTGCACAATTGTTTTAGTAAAAAGAGTTCAAATACATGTTGCTTTTACTTCAATGCGACCTTAACTGCTGGATTTGTACTTGTAACAGATGCCTATTATCACATGATGGACGATATGAACGCTGCGGGGGGGAGAGCTAATAGTTAATATTTCGTTTACTTTGTTTCTTTTCTTTTCCACTTTCTCCGTATATTGTTTTTCCTGCTGTCTCTGTGGAATAGTTTAATTATGGACTTTTAAAACCGAACTAGTACCGGACTACTTTTCTGTAAGTAAAGGAACCCAGTTCTTCCTCCACTCACCTGAGTTGTTGCTGAGCTCTCTGTGTGAGAACACCAACGGGCTGGACTGAACATCCTCCTCTCCCTCCTCTCCCTCCTCCTGCTCCTCCTCAAAAGGCTCTCTGTGTGAGAACACCAACGGGCTGGACTGAACATCCTCCTCTCCCTCCTCCTGCTCCTCCTCAAAAGGCTCTGCTTCAGTCGTATGACTCTCTTCTCCCTGAGTTTCTCCTCCTCTATTCTGTTTCTTTTCTTTACCTTTATTTGTCTTCTGACTTGTTGGTGCAGCAGGCTGTGTCGGATTTATATTCTTCAACACTTTGTCCTTTACAGGTGAAGCTCCACAGGGCTCCTGGTTGGGCATCTTGTACTTTTTAATAGACAGCTGGAAATATTTGTCACCAACAGGTGAAGCTGCTGCTGCTGCTGCTGCTGCTGCTGCTGCTGCTGCTGCGCTTGGCTCAGGTGAACTCCCTTCAGACACCACGGGTAGTTTGATATTTTTATCCCTTTTATCATCTGCTGAATCCTCTCGTGTTTGTGCTTCGGGATTCATGATTTCTTTGTCTGTGCGAAATAAAAGAAAAGCATTTAAAAGGATGTCTAAATGTTCTATAGGTCCTAGGGTCTACCTATTCTTAAAAGGACCGCTCCCTATAAGCTTGGGCATTATATTACATGTTATTTGTTAGACGCTTTTATCCAAAGCGACTAACATACTCGATGCTGTGGACAATCCCCACAGGAGCACTTTGGGGCGAAGTGTCTCCGGGACACAACGACATGCTGACTGCAGTGGGGTTTGAACCTGTGCCCGCCTGATCCCAACACCAGCGCCCTAGTCCACAGCCTCCCGCATCTATCTTGCATGTTTTTACTGATTGTATTTACTTGTTATTTTTCTAATTTGTTAATTAAGGGTGACGTACAACATCTGTTCAGGGACGACAGATGAAAAAAAAGCCTCTTGGCCAACTCTGGAGTTAAAATAATAAATAGAAAACTATTAAAATCCCTCACAAAAGAACAATCACTAAAGTATAAAACACTGATAATATCTGTCAGTAGTTTCTACCCGTCTCAATTCACAAATATTGAATTGTCTGTCTAAATGTGGGGGGTACATTAGCAGCACAAACATTAACTAACATTTAACCAAGTAGCAGAAGGATTAAAAAGCCGCTTTTTCACACCAAGTACTTTGCCGTACTTAGTTCCCGGAACTAAAGAGCAGATCGCGTTCACACCGGAATAAGTCCCTGAGGGAAGATTACGCAAATGAACCAAGCCCCCAGGAAGTGCGCCGGACTCTGATGAAAATATTCGTTGTGTCCAAACGGCGGTACTACAATTTCCGTATCAGTCCGTGACGTCATTGGGCCCAGAAAGACTTTTCCCCATTGACTAACATTGGGAAAGAAACGTCTGTAAATCAGCGGATAATTTTTTTAACTAAATAAACTACCCAGTATGAATTATTGTATAGCCCTTATTAGAATCATTCGGTCCTTAAAGTTGTAAAATGCACTAAAAGCCGAATCTAGATTTATTTTCTGTCTCCATTCATTCTACTGAGCCGAGAGTGGGAGCTCGGGGGGCGGGGCTTAAGGGGCGCATGCTCTGTGAGCGCACATACGGGTTCTTCTGCTCTGAAAGCTAGGCATGATGGGTAATCTGTGATGTTTCTCTCTCTCAAAAGTTGGGCCATTTTGTCCTCATGCGCCAATGAGCAGCTCTCATAGGAAAGAACGAGACCCCGCCTCCCACGCTGTATCCAGTTCTTATTATACATCCATGAAATGAAGCCGCTGACGTCACTTCTTCTGCTTTGGGTTTACTGGCAGGCCGCAAACAACTTCACGGCGTATTCTGCCACCCGAAGTCCCCGGAGTTGGGGAAGGCTTCAGTAGAAGCTGCTGGGACTCCCAGCAGCTTCTACTGAAGCCTTCCGAGTAAATCGCCAGAACGCCGACACCTCCTCATCTCCACCGCTCCCATGTTTTTTTTTGTATTGCCATAAGTTAGTCTCTCTCCGTTGGTGCGCGGGGCTAATGCTAATGCTAATAATGCTAATGCCAGCGGCTTCACAAAAGTCTTCCGAGTTTTACGGGGCGTGGTTTGCAATCCGCCCAGCCAATCAGAAATTGGAACTCTTTTCTCCCCAGGAAAGTCCCACCTCTCTAGCAGGGACTAAAAGGGGGGAAAAGTTCTCATGAACTAAGTTCTCTTTTTGGTGTGAACGCAAAATCCAAGGAACTATCGGAACTAAAAGGGAAAAGTACGGGGAAAAGTACTCCGGTGTGAAAGCGCCTCAACACGTATGAAGAGATTTTAGGAGTTGTTTACCTGAAAGAGCCCCCAGGTCTGTAGCCCCCACTTCCTTGCTGCTTGGACCTTGTTTCTTTGAAGCCTCGTCCGTTTCTCCATCAGATCCCTGTGGCACTTTTTTGCCCCTCTTCATCGGCTTAGCTCTGCTCGTCTTGGCATCTTTTAAAGTCTTTGAGTTAAGAGCTTTCTTATCTATTCTCACAGCGGGTTCATCTTCCCGCGTTTCCTTGCTTGTTTTCGGCGGCTCCTCTTCCTCGTCGCTCAGAATCAGGATAACATCCTCTGGTTCAAGAGGAGGAGGAGTGGGTACTTTCACGGGGGATGCAGACTTCCTCGTGCTAAAAATAAGGATTATTTAATATTACATTTCAATGAATATGTAGAGCCATTACTTGGTAAATATATATAGTGGTTTTGCCAACTCACCATGCAGGTTTGGACAGTGTGCGTTCTCTGAGCTTCTGAAAAAAAGCCACAAGGTTTTTTTGCACGCAGGCGGGCTCCACTAACGGCTGCTCGGGAACAGTTTCAATGGTTTTCTCAGGAGCTGCGAGTTCAGGCTCTCGTCCCACTGCTGCTGCGGGGGGGGCTACCATTTCTATCCTGGAGATAAACAACCAAAATATTCTTCAAATAACAAAATTAAGTACACAGGCACAATAGGCTTTATTGCGAGATTATATAGATAAAATATTGTGTGTGATTTTGGAGAATTACATTATTTAATAACATCTCTTTGAGTTGCACATGTATGACTAACTTAATGTTATTTTTAGTTAGCCATATTTATTTATACCGTATGTATATTCTATGACAATTCTTAAATATTACATTACATATTTCGTTGTACCAACTCCAGTATTGTTTAATCACCAAAACATAATAGTAACTACTCATCAAACACTCTTCACTTCCTACCTTGGTGTTTTTCTTTGGACCTCCACAACAGGTGTTTGAGGTTTCTGCGCTGGGTTTTTACTGAGAGTTTGAGTCTCTTTACTGCAGGAAAGAAGAGAATATACATCACAGGTAAATGAGTTAAAAGTGACAGTAATCTAAAAAAGGCAAACATCCACAAATGTAACTCAGTAGCACGCAATTAAAGGGCAGATATCATAACAAAATTGACCATTGAGACGGCAATGTGACTCGTTTATCGGCCGCCGATCGATATCGGCCGATATTCACTCTCTGCCGATCAATCGGTGCTCTCTATAAATGCCGATCAGGAGAGCCGATCACATGACGTAAAATACATGACACTTTTCTCTGTGCGCGGCAAAACAAGCTCGCCAAAATGGCTTCACCGGTCTGGCAGTATTTTAAGGTGTCCGAAAATGACAGTAAAATAGCGGCATAGCCGTGGGAACATGTTTCAAATGGGGGGTGCTGTGGGGATGACCACTTTGCTGCCCTAGGCTTCAAATGTATTTAGTATTGCATGAACATGTTTTAATTCCGGCGCAGACTGAAAAACTCATCTCTTTCGACTCCACTTCGAGCGATAGAACTATTAACAAAGAATTTCTAACAAAGCACTTATATACTAATAAAGGACTGGCTTATCTAAAGCCAGTTGAGTAGCACTTGAAATGGTTTGGCTCTATGAAACCTGATGTACTTATATGATTCTGTTTTCTTCAAGTTTGTATTTTCCTGGTCGAATGCACTATTGTAAGTCGCTTTGGATAAAAGCGTCAGCTAAATGCAATATAATGTAATTGGGGGGTCATTTATATCTTATGTTTACCGAGTTAACATTTATTTATGCATGTTTAAATCTCTCCAGTTTTAAACAATATTTTTGGTTTACTGTCCTATAGTATACATTGGTATGATTTCAAACCTGTTTTTATTTATCCTAATAATTATAAAGGTGCGCCTTGGAAATATTTGTTTACATAAATTGTGATCAAACCGTTTGAGACCCACTGAGATAACTTAGACTAAAGTGAACTGTCTAAACCCTCAGAGTCCTTTTCCTCAATGAGCCTCTTAGTCAGGACAGAACTCTCACTCCACATTATTGTAGAAACAGCTTCATTTTTGCGGGATCTGTGAAGAACAGCTGCACTACTGGTATTTTGTATGCCAGCAATTGAGGGTGGACACGTTTCCTACCACTTAAGTTTCAAATAATTGTGTTAATTACTTATTGTAAAGCATTTGAACATTCTTTTGTGTCACATGTTCATTATTAAGTTGATGTATAACTGTATAGTATCTTAATTATTTAAAATATAATGTGACTAAAAATGGCAACCGTATTTTCAGTTTTGGCAACCAAAAGCTGATGCCTGGTTGCCAACCTGGCAACCACTTTTAAAAGTTAGCGTTGAGCCCTGGAAGTGTTAATTTCGAACTATGACGAACGAAATATGTTCGTCAACGACCTTTTTTTCCATGACTAAAAACGAGACGATGACGAGACGGCACCGACGGCAGTAAACAATAACTGTAACGAAATCAACATGCAATATCGTTGACGAAAAGTGACGAGACGAAAATGTAGTTTACTATATAAAAACTATGGCAAAATCTCTCTTTACTTTCGTTGACGAAAAATGAGGAAACGAAATATTATCAAAGATAACGTTACATCTCTGATAGTCAGTTTTTCTCCCAGCAGTTCAATTTCCGGTGCTGCGGCTGGGCAGCAGCTGTGTGTCTGTGCTGCGCGCGGCGGTCGTTCTTATTATACATCGATGGCGGCGGTACATTTGAATTACACCGGGCCAGCCATAGATATATATATATATAAACAGATGACTCGCCCGCGCTGCTGGCCAACGGAGCAGTAGGGCCTGGCTCATTTCGTGGCGGCCATCTTGCCACAGGAAGCTCGCTCATTCATAACATTATGTCTATGGTGCACTATTGAAATAACCATAGCTTGCTCAATTTTCAACCAATTTTCAAACGGTTTGGTTTGTTATAAACATCAATTATGTAGTTATGATACTGCATACTTATACATATGGACTTTTTTTTCAACATGTCTTGTTGTCTCCTGTATCATAGCTATGCTAATAACGTTTATAATAAACCAAACCGTTTGTAAATCAGTCAAGATTTCAGCGAGTTAAGAGTATTTGTGTGCAGATCACTCACCTTACAACAGCCGTAGCAGTAGT